GACTTCCGACCTTCTCGGACAAGGGCGAAAAATCTCGGAGGTCCTGTGTGCAAGTTGCGCACGTTAAAGATCCACTGGTTGTCCCAAAATCGATAAGAGTAGGCTTCGGCCGCCACTCGGGCAAAATTCAAAATTCCTGACAACTGAAAATATTAGGTGTGTCCCGCGCGCTCATATGACCTTATGCAGTTGCGAGCGCCGTAAAACACTTACAAAAAAAAAGAAGAAAAATAAAGAAAAAAAAGAAGATGGACTGAAAAACTCCTCCTCCCACTGCGCATGCAGGAAACAGACGTGACAGATCACTCGTTCATTCCTCCCGTCCTTCTCTTCTCTTCAAGCGGAAAGTAAAATTTGTTTAAAATTTGTTACATACAGCGCAGTAAACTCTCTTCCCACTGGGTATGGCTGCTAGACAAAATAGAAGCGGCCGATTATCATAATTTGCTTTACGAAAGAAAAAAAAATCTATTAGAATCTATTCGTCTTTTCTGGATGTACGTAAAAATAAAAAAATAAAATTTCTTTGCCCCCAGCAAGAGGCAATTTCCCCCAAGCACGTAGACACAGACAACCTGCTTATTGAGCTAACAATTACTCATGACTGCAAAATTGGGCTCGGTCTAAAACCCAGGGTATTGGAACAAAGAGTGAAAGGAGGAGGAGAAGGAGAAGGAGAAGAAGGAGGAGGAGGAGGAGGGCGAGGAGGGGTAGAAGTGAGAGAAGAGAACGGGCGTGCAGCGAGAGAGGAGAGTGGCGCACGCCTCGCGTGGTCCCGCCCACCGACAGTGCGAGTCCCGGCCTTTGAAGGAATGCCGTCTGCTGGAGTGTCAATTACCCCGCGTCACGTGACCGCCTCGCCGTGCGCCCGACGGCCGACACTTTCCCACCAGATAGTTAGGTGAATACCCCAGCCGACATGCAGACTTTTCACTAAACTGAGACAACACGAGCTTCTAGGATCACCATGTGTGGTAAGTTGCAATCTTCATTCATTATTTGAGATATTCACGTATTTAGATCGTGTTCATATGTGTTTTGTAGCTTGCAGTTGTACATTTTTCGCTATCCATCGACCTGAAACAGAATTTTCAAGATGGCGGCCGCTAACGGTGCTGTGTTGGGCAAAGAGAGTTATCGATCCTAGGCGAGCCTTGGCGAGGGCCGATGCGTACCGCTACAGTGCTCCACACAACACACACACACACACACACACACACACACGCACGCACACACAGACCCCAGGCCTCGACTCGAGCGTTGCCTCGGTTGCTTGTTATCTTCTGCTTCGCCTTGGCCCAACTGCTGGTTCTTTGGGATGAATAATGTAGCCCTTGTTCTCCCTCACCCCTCCCTCCTCCTCCCCCTTCCCTCTCCCTCCTCGCTGACCGAGGCGACAGATAAGGAACAATATGGCCTTTGTCGGATGTCTCGCGAATGGCCCCGAATCTACAACTGAAATTGAAAACAAAACCAAACAAATCAACAAAACCACAGCTTGAAAACGCAGTGGCTCTCCAAGTCTGAGAACTGCTTTTCATCAAGTGTCTCATTTGTAACTGTCGTCCTCTTTTCCATGTCCCTGGTGGTGGGGGGGGAGTGTGTTTGTGTGTGTGTTTGTGTGTGTGTGGGTGTGTATGTGTGTGTGTTTGTGTAAGTGTGGGTGTGTATGTTTGTGTGTTTGTGTAAGTGTGGGTGTGTATGTTTGTGTGTTTGTGTAAGTGTGGATGTGTATGTTTGTGTGTCTGTGTGTGTATATGTAAGTGTGTGTGTCTATGTGTGTATCTGTGTGTGTGTTTGAAGAAGAATCATTTATTTCGTTCAGTTCACAACGATGAGCCGGGAGATCTAAAATCTAGATATCTAGATCTAGAATCTAGTCTAGTTACTGGTAAATAAATGTAGGTTCTAGATCTATCATGCGTGAGGGAAATGGCGATGTTTTGTTTTGTTTTGGCGTCTCTGGGCCCTCATTTTAGCGCTTTGTGCACCTGTTTTGAAATCGGCCAAAGCAAAAGCCGTGATTGTTTTGTTTTCTACGTGTGTAGATCAATAACAAGTGTGCGTGTTTGTGTGTGTGTGTGTGTG